ATAGACAGGGAAGCAGAGCAGCTGTGATTCTTCCTGTCTACCCAACTTCTTAAAAGGAGAGACCCCAGACAGCCACAGATATGTACCCCTGTCTAGGTTTCAAGGATGGCTCAGCCTGTGTGGCTGAGAGGTAAGAGGAGAATCCAGAGACTTGCGGTATCATAAAGCTAAGGGAGGAGGCTGTTTCACTGAGGGTTGGTGGATGGTGTGAAATGCTGTGGAGAGGTCAAGACAGCTGAGCACTGAAAGGTATTTATTCTATTTGGCAATTGGGCAGTCACTGGTGACTTTTATGAAAAAGAATACAGGGCTGAAGAACAGCTGAGGAAGAATTAATTTGATCGAGCTTGTTATAATTATGCCTCAGAGAAAGATTCTTGTTTAAAGTAACTTGACTAACAAGGAAAAAGTGTAAGGGGTAACAGACTCTAAGAAATGCTGTTTTAATCTTGGTGAGAACCAGTTTGCAGACTATGTGGAAATAACAACAGAGACAGAGGCTGGAGACTCCAGGAAGCGGGAGCAGTGGGCTGAGCAAGGGAGCGGTCTTGGAGGACATACAAGAGGATTCAAGACATAAGAATTAAATAGGAGCAGGAGGGGAGGAAAAGGGAGAGTTATAAACGCAGATGAATGAGAGGGGAGAGAGGAACAGTGGGCAAGGACGCTCTTGCTTTAGGGGCTCTCTTCTGCGAAGTAGGCAGTGAGCTCAGTTATGTGTGGAGGGCAAAGACGGAGGCATGGATGGGAAAAAAAGGATCACAACAAGTTAAAGAATTTCCAGTCAACACTGAGAGCCCAACTGAGGCTGCCAACTGGAATTTGTCATGCTCAGAAGCCCAGGAGGTGGGAGCAGAAAATATGATGATGCCAAAAATGGAGAATGGCTGATAGTTTCAACAAAAATTGCCTGGCACGTTGGCTCATACCTGTAATCGCAGCACTTTGGGAGGCTGAGGAAGGCAGATTGCTTGAGCCCAGGAGCGTTGATACCAGCTTGAGCAACATGGTGAAACTCCGTCTCTACCTAAAGTAGAAAAATTAGCCAGGCATGGTGGCATGTACCTGTAGTCCCAGCTACTCAGGAGGCTAAAATGGGAGGATCACCTGAGCCCAGGATGCAGAGGTTACAGTGAGCCAAGATCATGCCACTGCACTCCCACCTGGGTGACAGAGTGAGACTGTCTTAAAAAAAAAAAAAAAAAAAAAAAAAAGTAGGCCAGGCGTGGTGGCTCACGTCTGTAATCCCAGCACTTTGGGAGGCCAATGTGGGCAAATCACGAGGTCAAGAGATCGAGACCATCCTGGCCAACTTGGTGAAACCCCATTTCTACTAACAATACAAAAAACATTAGCCGGGTGTGGAGGCACACGCCTGTGGTCCCAGCTACTCGGGAGGCTGAGGCAGAAGAATAGCTTGAACCCAGGAGGCGGAGGTTGCAGTGAGCCGAGCTTGCATCACTGCATTTCAGCCTGGAGACAGAGCAAGACTCCATCTCAAAACAAAACAAAACAAAACAAAACAAAGTTGAAGGGGATGAGAAAGTTCAGGATGTTGATAAAAACATCAGTGTGTGATAGGCTCTGGGTTCAGGCTGGGGAGAGGAAGGAGTCCAGGAGAAAGCTGAAAGGCAAGGAGAGGAGAGAGAGGGCCGAGGTCATGGAAATGGACTAAAGAGCAGGGCAATTTTGGCAGTACTGACAGAGGGAGAAGAGGAAGCCCAGGAGGTGGCAACCCAGGAGCAAAGGCTCTCAGTTCAGGAGGTCAGAAAGGAAGACTCTAAGTGACCCCATGGAGTGAGACAGGGAGCAGAACAGAGCCCAGGAACAAACAAGAAGGCGCCACGGTCTTAGGAGCCAGGCAAGGAGCTGTTGCTAGAAATGGGTAGAGGCAGAGAGCCAGAGTCTGCCAGGGTGGATGGCAGGACCTGCCGTGGAACAGAGCCTATGGAGTGTCTGGTGGCTGCCACTCAGGTAGGGGCACTAGAGGCAGGCAAGGTGTATAGTTAGCAATTGCTGGACGTCAGGCAGGGCTGACCTACCCATGTTCTGTGGAAGAGTGCTCTGCAGTTCATCCTGAACCAGTTTTTTTTTTTTTTTTTTTCCGAGACGGAGTCTCATTCTCTCGCCCAGGCTGGAGTGCAGTGCTGCAATCTCGGCTCACTATTACCTCCGCCTTCCAGGTTCAAGCAATTCTCCTGCCTCAGCCTCCTGAGTAGCTTGGATTACAGGTGCGTACCATCACACCTGGCTGATATTTGTATTTTTAGTAGAGACAGGGTTTCACTATATTGGCCAGGCTGATCTCAAACTGCTGTCTTCAGGTGATCCACCCACCTCGGCCTCCCAAAGTGCTGGGATTGCAGGTGTGAGCCACCATGCCCAGCCAAAAAATAAAATAAAATTTAAAAATCCTGAACCAATTTTCAGCTAAAATCTCCTTTCCATCAACTGAAGTTACTTTACTGTCTTATTTCTCAGCACACCCAAGAAGCCAATTTCTCCTCTAAGACTGCATGCTGTCCCATAAGAATCTGGAACTCACCGTATTTCCATTGCATGATATTGTCAATAACCAAAGGACTTGGCTGACTTCAAAACTGGGCTATTGTGGGAATAAGTCAAAAGCAGCATCAGCCCAAATGTTAGCGAAGAGCCAAGGTAGTCACCTGGCTGCAGGTAGTCACTTGGCCAGAAGGATTTTTTTTTTTAATTTCTAAGTCATGTTCTGGTTTTTGCATGCAAAACCAAACAAAACCATGACTCAAAACAATGGTGGCTAGGTCCAAAGGAAAAGCCAGGGCGAGGGCAGTGCCAAGGGATAGCTAGCGTGGGGATGGTGTCATAGGCTTTGGCCTCAGCCCCACCTACCCAACCCTGATCAGGTGTCTAAAGGGAGCCTCTCTGCATGCAGGCTCTCCATGATGAGAAGGAAGCGTGTATCTCTCCAGCACATTACTAAGACCCCCTAGCCCAGCAAGCTGATCCTTGAGCCCAGCAGGCCACACCCAAGCTGGGAGCCTCACTGATATAAGGAAAGCCAGGCTTTTAACAGGCATTTCTGCTCTAAATTTGTGGTCTCCAGTTGGTCCTGAGGAAGGATCAGGTCTGAGGCTATCACAGCACTCACCAGCTGCCCAACGCCAAGTACACTAAAGCTCATAGGGATGGTGGGAATGTGGGCCGCACAAAGGAAAGATGACCTAGAGCAGGAATTAGTGACACGAGAACAGAGGGAACGTTGTCAAGCCAACCAAACAGAGAACAAGATTCAAACATTGAAAGGGAAATGGCCAGACCCCAAACCAGAAAGGCATGTGAGTCTCAAAGGGCAGAAACCTAAGTCCAAAGATTGCTGGACTGGTAAAGCATTGAAGACTTAGTTTCTGAACCAGAAAACGGGATCATGGGAGCCTATCTGCTTCAGCGAACATGGCACGTGCTGCTGAAAGAATGGCAAGCCAATGGGCATGGTTTGCTTTGAAGTGAAGATGATCTCTCAGCTTGGGTAGAGAAGGAAATGGGCAATACCATCAACTCACAAAGAGAGAAGAAATGTTTCCTGATTTAAAAAAAAAATGCTTATTAGCAAAGCCCTACAAATCAAAACATCCTTAAACTGTGTCTCTTAACAAAACCAAAGCCATGACCTAAGACTCCCCTGAAATTAGCCATTTGATGGCAGGACCAAGGATAGTTGTCTCAGTCCTGGCCACTGAAATGTCAGGTTCAGAGCTGGCCCTGGCACTGAAATGTTAGGTTCAGAGCTGCCCCAACAGTATCAGCAATGAGTTCCTTCTCAACCAAGCCCTTGCTTGGGAGGTAACCTGACCTCCAGTATCCTCACAAACACCTGGCGAGGACCATGCAGATCCATTCAGGATACAACCTTGAGCTCCTGTTCCCATGGCTTCCAGAATGCTTCCCTCTGCATTCTAGGAGAACTAAGGCTCTGAAGTTGCTTCAGAGTCACCAAAGGACACTGGCTTTTTGCCTCTTGATTTTTCCCCTGTCCACTTTAGACAAACTTCCCCCAGAAATGTCTAGATCTGACTCCTGTTGGTCCCTGAGGCCTTCTCTAACCTCCAACAAAAAGGGCTGCCAGCAAAGCTTTTCCAGGATGGTAGACAGCCTGGGGGCAGGCTAGTCAGAAGATTCACTTCTGATCTTTGGCTCATGAACTTGGAGAGGTTGAGAACTAGAATCTCTAAGCAGGAGGAGAGGCCCAGAGGAGTCAGCTGGTTGTGGGTTATGCTCTCCACCCATGGAACTCTGTACCTGAAGCAGACAGCAGCTGCTTCACGGTATTCACAAGCAGAACTTAAGATCCAGACCTCTGAGTGAGGATGATGAAGGGTGTGCCCACTGACAAGCACCAACAGTCACTTCTAGGAAGGCAGGTTCTCACACTAAAGAAGTGCGATTAGCCCAGAGTAAGGAGCACAGAGGGTGGGCTCAGAAGTGGACATCTTTCTAAGTGTGCAAGTGAAATCTGAACCAGATGTAAGTGGTCTCTGCACAGCCACCCAGCTCAATCAAGAATGTCACACCAGCCACAGCATTTTCACAGCAGCCACCAAAGTCAGCATCAGGAAAGTGAATATGTAAAACAAATACCCTGAAAACCGTTAGAACCCAAACAGGCACCAGTTGAGACCTAAGGCCTCTAGAAGCCTCCACTAGTCTGCACACGGCAGGTGCCTCTGTCCAGACAGGACAAGCAAAGGCAAACAGTGACAGTCTTTGGCTGTGCTGGGCCAGGGACCACAGTCCTGCCATATGTCTAAACCTCTCTCCCTTCTTTCACTCACATCTGAGCCCAGGAGGAGTTCAGATATATACATGGCTCCTGAACCCTGGACACTAAAAGGTGAGACAGGTCTGCTTTCCCAGGCAGAAAAAAATTCACCAAGGAAGGTAGGTCCTCCCAAGCCTGACTAGGTGTGGTCTTGTCAAGCGGACCCTATACATTACTCTGATTACTCTGATAATAACGAATGCCTTCCTCTTTCCTGTTTATTACTGAAATCTTCTCTGTAGTGGATGCACTGCGGCTCCCAAATAAATGCTGTAGATGCAAATGGCAAAGAAGAGCACTATACAGTTCAATGAGACTCATCTACCACCCACATTCTGAAGAGGATAAGCTGCAAGATGGGAAGGAATGGTCGACAGGCTGGGACAACAGCTGCCAGAGTACACAGTCTCTTGGCTCTCACACCTGGGGGATGCTGTTGGCCAGACGAAATGACATTTTCTTTGCTCTTTCATTCTCCTGAAAGAAAAATACATATTAAAATAGCCAAATGTAGGCTATGTCAAGATTGCAGTGCTGCAGACTCAAAGTATTTTATTTTACCACAGGAATGCAGCAATAAAACTTACTGAAGCCACTAAACATTGCATGCTAAGTATGGTGAGCAACTGAGGATGGCTGGTCAATCCCTGGCACATGGGAGGCAGGCAAAAACATTTCCGTGGAATTAAACAGCCCTGAGTGGACGTTTCTGGTCTACACAGGTGGGACCAGCCCAAAGATCAGAGGAGCTCTCTCTGCTGCAAGCAATACCTCTCCTTCTTTACCTACACCAAGGGGCTAAGAAAGATCTCTTCCTTTCTCCCTCAAATCCAAGTAGAAACCAGGCACTGAGACCAGGTAATTCCCTTCTTAGGGGCATCACAATCACAGTGTAGTGTAACCAGCACCAAATTGGCTATTAGGACAACTGGTTTCTCAGCCCTGGTCTGCTGCTAAATGCTGGGTTACCCTGGGCAGGCAGGTACCTTTCTGAATTTCAAGTCTCATGAGCCCTGTACTGCCCTGCCTTCCTTACAGGCTAAGGGGCTGGAAAAAAAGGTTCACTGTCACCACTGTCTTTTGCACCCCCTGAACAGCCTCACCTTAGGCTGCTGCTTGGGTGCCCTTCTGCTTGCTTGGTCACCCGCCCACCTGCTGCCACTATGGCAGTAACCCTTTACCATATGTCGTCGCCGCCTCTTGGGTTGGATGCCTTCCTGCACGTAGGGAGGCCATGGGAAGCCCTGGGGAGTGGAGCGTTCACTCTCACTAGACACCTCTTCGGAGTCTGAGTCCTCCTGCCTTGGCTGGGCAAACCGTTTCTCTGGGTAGATCTCCTTCAACCAGCCCTCAAAGAACACTTCCAGGCAGCGGCCAGCCTCTGCAACCTCTGAGTCAGGCTGATGGAGACGGAGAGCAATGATAGTCTAGCCCATTTCTACTAATCCATCTTTTCCAGGTCCCTCAAGAGCTACACAGAGCACAAAGCCTGGCAGGGTCTCCTGAGGTGTCTGGAACTGGGCATTTTTTTTCCCCTAGGACTCACGATAACTAGTTTGGTAGTAGCTCTTAAGGCAGAAGTGACCCCAACAGGCAGCCACAGATGGCCGGTCACTAGTATGTCCCCTTTTTCTTGAGTCCATGCTGAGGCCTGAGTGTGGGAGAGAGCTTTTAAACACCCACCACAGCAGGCCCCTGGAATCTGCTCCCCCATCCTCATGGCAGCCCAGACCAAACCTAACCTCTTACCCCTACCCACCCATGACAGTCCTGGGGTTGGGGGAAATAGGAGAGAGGGAAAACAGACAAGACATACATAATTGAACTTAGCACAATTCCAGAACATGAGGTGCACATCCGATACCACCTCCTCTGGGGTGGTATAGTGAGCCGGGTCCTTCTTTTGCAGCTTTCTCCGGATGATTGACAGGTCCATGGGCCTCTTGATAATCTGGTAATAATGCCGGGCCTTGCGGAAGGAGACATGAGGAGAAGGAGGCAAATGGGAGTGAGAGAAGAAATGAAGGTATGGATAAGAAGGAAGAAGAAATGGACAATGAGTTGAAATATAAGTAAAAAGAATAGGAGGAGGAATGATGAGAAGCAGCAGGAAAAAAAGGATGGAGAAAGAAGAAAAAGAGAAAGGGAAAAGGAGGAATGTGTCACTTGTCAAGTCAGATCTGATACAGCAGAAGTTGTGGTTGGGCAGGCTGGAATGGTCATGGCCCCACAGCCCCCTGGACTATCCATAAACTACTATTGTCACTGCTTCCAGTGGCCATGCTCTGAGCCCAGCCTAGGAACCACCATGCTCCTGCCCCATGGTCTAGACCCTCTGAGCAGAAGAAACAGTAGCAGGCAGAAACAGCGCGGCCTTCCTTACCAGGGGGCTGACAGGTTCATGGAAGGGCAGGCTGAGGTTATTGCAGCACAAGGACAATACCAGCTTCTCACACTTCTGCAAAATCAGAATTGGCAACAGAGTCACTTTGTTCTGGCCTCACCTCAGTATGAACTAAAGATGCTGACCCTGATAACTCCCTGGCTCTGTCTCACAGGGTACCAACTGCCATACTAAGGCAGAGCTCAGGCTCCCAAGCCAGAGGAAAACTGCTGCGAGAAGGAAAATCATCCAAACACCCCCGGGCCAAGTTGTCAGTCCCAGCACAAAGAAAGGTATCCAGAAAAGCCCCTCATCCCCTCTGAAGGCCTCAGACCCTGTAGGCAGAAAGGGGCTGCCAAGGGCAGGGAACCTTGTTTCCAAAAACCCCTCCCTACCTTCTGGTCGTATGTGCTTAGGCCAGGAGATGCCCGCATTCCAGGCTGGTTATAGCGGGCGTTCTCACAGTCGTACTCCATCTCGGGCTGGGTCAGGCTGCGGCACAAGGTACACACCCACTCTCCCCTGCAGGGGCAGGTGAGGCCATCTTAGGCCTCCACACATTGCCCAGAGCACCGTTCCCTCTCCCTCTGCCCTAGGACAGGCACTGGGACAATGACGTGGGAAACTGAGTCCTTGGCCTTGCCATGTAAGGAATGGCTTCCTAGCCACAGGCTTAGAAGAAATTCAGTAACTCAGAATTTAGTGAATCTAGAAAAATAGGGGTTGGGGAGGCTGGGGTAAGAGTATAGGCACAAAATCCACATGCAAGAGGAAGGTGAGTAAAGAGGTGGAAGGGAAGTCAACCAAACGTCAAGCATCCACCTGTCTGTGTGCAGAAGACACCCAGGCCCATCGACTCACAGACCTGCAATTCAGGCAGGCCCAGAGGAGGGAAGTAAGCCCATCCTGGGAGCTCTGTGGCCTGGCCTGGAATAATCATCCCTGGAAGGTAACCCTACTAGCCAGGTGATGATCCTGGACTGGGATGACTCACCCTGGAAAGCTGAGCAAGGCTGGCACATGGCAGGACAGATGGAACACTTTGGGGCAGCGGTCACAGCACAGTAACTCTCCCCCATTAAGGCAAACAGCACAGAAGTCCTCATTCTCTATTGGGGCTGGGGGGCCCTTCTTGGCTCCTGGAGTTCGAGGAATGAGTCTGTGTTCTTCAGATGTGCCCTCCACTTCTGGAGGCCGCTGCCCAGCCAGAGAAGTGACAGTGACCTTTCTTCCCCCCAGACCTGGGGCCTGGGTGGCCTCAGACAGTCTGTCCTGGCTGACCTTGGGGAAGAAGTAAGTCTGGGGAGCCAGAGCACAGCACCAACGAGCTCTTGGGGGAGGAGAGGGAGGGACCCACAGGCCCTGCGCACCTACTATGAGAGCCACTTATTCCAGGACCCCATACCAGCAAGCCCCATGAATGCTGGGACACCTCACTCCTAACATGCATCTCACAGGCCCTTTGAAGCAGGGAACAATGTCTGGCAAAGCTGCAGCCCCATCAGAAACTCAGGAAAGGTCTCAGAGCCAGAATTCTGGCAGTAGCAGAAAGAATACACTCTTAGGCTGGGCCAGGGTTTAAGGCCAAGGCAGAGGAAAGTGGTACCTTAATGGACATGCTGGAGGACTCAGTGCCACACTCGATGATCAGCAGGAAGCTCCCATCCTGATCATTCTTCTGTGGCTTCAGCTTGAACACAGGCATCTCTCCCGAGGAGCCAGCACAGATTTTGAGTCGCTCTAGTCGCACATAGGGAATCTTAGGCTCGCTATTGAAGGCTCTGCAGCAAGACAGATATCCCGGGGTCTTGGGATCCTCCTCTGGCCCCAACCTCTAAGTCAGAAACATCCATGATCCCTGTGATGGTTAATACTGACTGTCAACTTGATTGGATTGAAGGATACAAAGTATTGATCCTGGGTGTGTCTGTGAGGGTGTTGCCAAAGATTAACATTTGAATCAGTGAGCTGGGGAAGACAGACCCACCCTTAATTGGGTGGGCACCATCTAATCAGCTGCCAGCAAATATAAAGCAGGCAGAAAAACACGAAAAGGAGATAACTGGCCTGGCTTCCCAGTTACATCTTCCTCCTGTGCTGGACGCTTCCTGCCCTCAAACACTGGACTCAGTTCTTCAGTTTTGAGACTAGGACTAGCTTTCCTTGCTCCTCAAGCTTGCAGACAGCCTATCGTAGGAGCTTGTGATCATGTAAATTAATATAAACTCCTCTTCATATATATATATATATATATATATATATATATATATATATATATGTATATATCTCTCTTCTACTAGTTCTGTTCCTCTAGAGAATCCTGACTAATACAATCGCCAACTGAATTGCTACTCTAGATCCTCTCAGATCTGGAGAGGACTCTATAGATCCATATTCTGCCCTGCTGCCCAGTTCTGCATGGCCAGGCCCTGTCAGCCACTGGGAAGCCCTTTGGTGTAGTCCTTCCTAGTCAAAGATGGGAGCTCCCTGACGTGCAAGAACTGCACCCAGAGTGCATGCCTCATGGTGCAGGAGCCAGGACATCCTCCCACGACTATCCCAGACATTCATTTGAAGGTCAAGGGGTGGAAGAAGACAATTGCAGACAGACTTCTTCCACTTGCAATTAAATCGTCAAGGTTGCTTCCTCCCTATGCCAAAATCTCAGGACGTGAAGTCATGGGTGGGAGGGGAGATTAACCAGGAGTCTGTTACCTGATGCTCTGGTTCTCCTTTGCATCCAGCTCTAGGGTTCCTTGTTCAAAATTCTCACACACTAAGGCAAAACACAAACAAATACCTGTGACACACATTTGTGACAACAAACCCTGTCATGCACACCTTGCACTTATATCTGTTATTCATATCTTTGGCCACACACCTGTCACAGAGTTGTTACCTACACTATGGTCTTTCATAGTGGTGACAAGTCTACCATGGATCTCCTTCTTGAAAGGAGGAAGGTCACCTTCTTTTAAAAAAGATGAACACAAATAACACTCAGAGGCTGCCTACAGGTGAGTGTTGGGTCAGGCACTGATGGGCAGTTTCTCACCTTCAACATGAGCTCGGAAATCACTTGTTCTCAGTACACTGCTGTCGCCTCCTCTAAGGAGACCTTTTGTCCAGCCTCTGCCCTCTCAGCCAAGTGCTGGGATTCCGGCACTGCTTGAGAATCCAGCTCACACTCCATGGACAAGGGGTTCCCAGGGAGTCCTCCCTGAGTATGCAGTCTATGGAGATGGGCAGGAGGCAGTGGTGGGGCAGAAGGAGGAAACTAGCATCCAGTCAGCACCAGGCATGGTTCTGCTGTACATGGGTAAGCAGAACCTAAAAGGTTTAGTTCTACTGCATAAAATGCAGACTTACATTACTGTATGTAATAAGAACCAATAATTTTTCAGTTGGTCTTTCAGTCAGTGTGAGGAAAAGGAGAAAAACTGTTTCTTTCATTTTCATTTATTACATGTATAAGAAAGAAACTGATCATTACAAATTAAACATGCATCATACATTGAACTGAAAAAGTCCCAAATGATCACTAGGGAGTCATTTCTGAATTCCCAACTGGCCCTCAGTTTCCACAGAAGAACAAACAGCCTAGCCTTTTTGGAGAAGGGGCATGAGAAGCTGAGAAGCAAATCAGAACCGATCTCCAATGGCCCAAATTCCCTTCACTACAAGGCACAACACAAATCCACATTACTGTCTACTACCAGGAAAAACCTTGCTACTCAGAGTAAGTTATCAAATTATTTCACTATAGTTACTTGTCCCAGTAGCCTATGAAGTAGGTGCAATTAGCCCCATTTAGAGAGAAAGAAATCAGTTAAAGGTTAGGTCTCTCATCCGGGATTAGAGGGAGAGAAAACTAGTTTCCTAACTTCCACCTGTCAGATTCCAAAGTCAGACATGCTCTTTTCCCTATAACATGTTGCCAAGGCTAGTCCTCCTGGGCTGAGTTCTGTTTCCCCCTATGAATAATGCAGACCCCCAGGACTTTTTTGCATGGAGAGTGTTACAAACAGAGTAAGTCTTGGCCATGCCTGGATCAGCCATGGCCACGGTGAAGGAAGCAGAACAGGCGTCACTAAGACAGTTTCAGAGGAGAGAAGTAAATTCGGCCTCAGAGAGATGCACTGCTTCCCCAGCTTAGAGCTTGTCTGCTGGCTTCTATCTCACCTGGAAGTGCTGAGTCCATCTGCTCAAGTCTGTGGCCAACATGAAGGGCAGGCTGCTTGAGTCTCACCTTTTACGTTCTGGCACTGCTGCAGAGCTGTAGATGTGCTGACCACTGGTGCCAGTGGAGGTTTCTTCACAGAGAGGTTAATTGGCTCCTCCAGTTCTGATGGGATGGCCAAGTCCTTGCGAGCATCCAGACCAGGGGTTATGGGACCTTGTCCCAGTGAGTCAGTGAAGCGAGTGGAATCCTCACTTTCCATCTTTCAAAAGCGAAATGTCAACAAGAATCAAAGAACTCAGACATGGTTGCCATTGGTGGTCAAAAGACTGTTAAGCTAAGGTTAGAACAAGGGTCTTAGTGGCCAACCTTTTGCCCATTGTTGAGCAAAGGAAGTCTGAATGGCATCTCCCCGGGACTTACCTTACACAGAGCATTCCCCAGGGAGGGATCAGCGCCATCTCCAGGGCACAGGCTCCCTGAAGTTCGGCCAGAACTGGAGCTGGACCCGGTTTCTGGCTGCATGTCAGACACTGAAGGGATGCTCTGCAGAGGACAAGTTGCCAGACTTGGCACAGCCTGGGTGTGACCAGACACTAGGCTGGGCCCAGCCTGAGAGTGATCACTTGCCAGGTTTGCCACAGCCTGGGGGGAGTCACTCAGCAAGTTGGGCATGGACTGGAATGTGCTACGCACGAGGCTGGGCACAGTCTGTAGATGACTGGTTGTCAGGCTGGGCATGGCCTGGTTTTGAACACTTGTCAGGCTGGACACTGTTTTGGGGGGACCACTCAGCAGGCTTGGTACCGCTTGGGAATTGCCAGCCGTCAGGCTGCTCACACTCTGGATCTGTGGCTCTAGGGTCCTCTCCAACCTGGTAGATGACAATTCCATTTCCAGAGTGTTGGAAAACCCCATGATGCTCACCGAGGTGGAGTGCTGCGGGAACAGAGACAAGGGTAGAGTCAGGCTGCTAGCTGGGAATGGAGGGAGGGAGAGGGGAGACCCAACCCACAGGAGCTCCCATGCTCCAATTCCACTCTGGCTTCAGAGTCTGGTAGCTGCCAGGAACTTAGGCAATGCATGAAACCCTGTTCCTCTTCCCAACACTAAGGAGGCTGCTAAGCTATGACACAGAGAGACAGGCACAGGCAGAGGACCGTGTGTGTGTGTGTGTGTGTGTGTGTGTGTGTGTGTGTGCAAGAGAAAGAGAATTTACTGCTTGACCGGAGGCATGTATACACACACACACACACACACACACACAGAGAAAGAGAAAGAGAGAGAGAGAGAGAGAGAGAGAGAGAGAGTCAGAGTCAGCCATATCCCTCACCCCAGTCCTGTACCTAAGCAAAGGGTCAGGCTGTGGGACTGTCCTCTAATTTCAAACTCCTCTCTGACTATACCACCAGTGGCTTCTCTTCTCTTTGAGGGGTGCTATAGAATAGTTTCTGCTATACAAAAGTAGCAGGGAGCTGAGAAGGCTCAAACTCTTATTTGCCTCAAACCTGCCTTGAGAGAATGCCATCAGAAAGTTTCAATCAGTCCTGGGGAACCTGGATCAACTCCAGGGCCTTCTTATGAGCTTGTTCAAATCAACTCCAAGCACTACCAGCATTTGACGCAGGCTTTAACCAAGATATATGAAGGTCTTTTCTGGCCCTAGTATACCTGCCAAAGATATTCCAAACCAAAGGCAGAGAACTTCAAAGCAACTAAATCTTAATATCACCTAGTCTGTACAATCACTGGATAAGGCAGTAATGTTCCAACTCCAAAATTATTTTCTTACATCTAACTACTTGGTGACCTAAGGAGGAGATGTAAGAGGCTGATAAAAGAAGTTGAACACATAGATTTATGTACTGAATCCACTCCGCTTTTCAGATTGAAGACGCAGATTTAGGAAAAGGGAGGGAGACTGGCTCTAAATGTATAAAGAATGTATAAATGTATCAGGAATGCAGAAGTTTCATATTCCTGCCCTTTAAAAAAAAGACTAAATATACAACAATTTGACATCTTTTGAAAAACAAAGGGATAACAGGATTAGACATATCTAAGTTTCCAAAATCAGTGTCTTGCACCTGTCATTTCTTTCCCCATTCAAATTTTCACAGGAAAATAAATACTTCAAATACCTTCTCAAGTTTCAATATAAAGTCAGTAAAGCTATTTTGCCATGAGGACTGTCCTCATCTCAGTGAAAGTCACTCCAAGTCATCCAGTTCTGCAAGTCAAATCCTCTGAGGGAGGCATCACTGAAGCATCCCTCCTGCCACACCCAAACTAATACCAAGCCCCATCAATTCTACCCCTTTCAAATCTCTCAGATATACCTACTAATTCTTCCCTTTATTGATGGTGCCCTAGCCTAACCTACTTTCACATCTCCCTGGACAACAGTAGTAGCCTCCTCAATGGAGAAATATTTTCAAAACACGGACCGATCACATCATTTCTTTTCATAAAACCCCACAGTGCACTCCATTCTTCTTAGAATAACTGCAAAAATCTTTAACAAGACTCCTGAGGCCCTGATAACCTGTCCTCTGTCCTTCTGTCCTCCTTTGTAGCCATAGCTCATTCAATAACCCTCTCCTCATTCTCTGAACTCCAGCCATTTTTTTCAGTTCCTGCAACATACCAAGTTATCCTTCCATCCACTACCCTCACCCTCTTCAGATGGACTGCTTTCTCTGCATAGAGGATTCCCCTATTCCTGGCCGGTTCCACTTATCCTTCAGAACCCAGCTCAACAGACATTTTTTGCCAGAAAGAATTCTTTCATTCTCTAGTCCAGACCACGTTCCTGCTTTCATCCTCTCTTATGCCTTATACATGTACTTTCAGCCTCATGCCACAATTCATGTTATCATTTGATTAATGTCTGTTTCCCCTACTAAATTGTAAACTCCATTAGAGTATGGATTTTTATCTATTTTGCTTACCCACTGTATTCCTAGACCCAAGAGCAGTATCTGGATGAATAAATGAATTAATGAGCTATTTGAAATTTCGAAACAACACTAATACAGGACTGTTTATTCTACAAATCTGTAGCTAAATGAACAGCAGCTTACTTAGGTCTACTGACAACTTTGGCTATGAGTCTCTCTAAAATAATGATTTTTTTATACAGGTAAAGTTTATTGAGAATTTATTATATGCAAGGCAATGTGCTAAAGGTTTTACATATATTACTTAATCCTCACAATAACCATTAAAGGGTTGTTAGAAAGTTAAAAGAAAAAGTCCATGTGAACATTTAGAACAATATCTGGCATACTATAGATGCTCAATAAACCCCAATTGTTTCTACTGCTGCTGCTATTTTTATTGTATTATTGTTGCTGCATACCTACTTTTATGCTTGATGAGGCTCAGAAGGACATCTTAAGTTTTTTCTTGTTATTGTAAAACATAATTTTGTAGATTTCCATTTTTCTTTATTGTGTGTATACTCTATATAGAAATACAATTAATTTTTGAATATTGACTATGTATAGTCCTTGCTAAAGTCATTCTAAGATTTTTTGTTTGTTTGTTTGTTTGTTTGAGATAGAGTCTCACTCTGTCGCCCAGGCTGGAATGCAGTGGCACGATCTCTGCTCACTATAACCTTCACCTCCTGGGTTCAGACAATTCTTCTGCCTCAGCCTCCTGAGTAGCTGGGACTACAGGTGCACGCCACCACATCCGGCTAATTTTTTTTGTACTTTTAGTAGAGACAGGGTTTCACCATATTGGCCAGGCTGGTCTCAAACTCCTGACCTGGTGATCCATCCACCTCAGCCTCCCAAAGTGCTGGGATTACAGGTGTGAGCCACCGCACCCAACCCATTCTGGGATTTTCTTTTGGATTTTCTGTGCACGCAAATCATGTCCATCTATGTATAGTAAGTTTTTGTTTTGTTTTTCCAGACAGGGTCTTGCTCTGTCACCCTGGCTGCAGTGCAGCAGCACAACCACAGCTCACTGCAGCCTTGACCTCCCAAGCTCAAGCAAGCAATCCTCCCACCTCAGCCTTTGAAGTAGCTGGGACTACAGGTGTGTCTTCCCACACTTGGCTAATTTTTTTTTATTTTTGTAGAGACAGGGTCTTGCTATGTTGCCCAGGCTGGTCTTGAACTCCAGGGCTCAAGCCATCCTCCCACCTTAGCTTCCCAAAGTGCTGGGATTACAGGCATGAACCACCATGCACATCCTGAATGGTAAATCTACTTTCTTTTTTTTTTTTTTTTTTTTTTTTTTTTGAGACGGAGTTTCACTCTTGTTAACCCAGGCTGGAGTGCAATGGCACGATCTTGGCTCACCGCAACCTCCGCCTCCTGGGTTCAGGCAATTCTCCTGCCTCAGCCTCCTGAGTAGCTGGGATTACAGGCACACGCCACCATGCCCAGCTAATTTTTTGTATTTTTAGTAGAGACGGGGTTTCACCATGTTGACCAGGCTGGTCTCGATCTCTTGACCTCGTGATCCACCCGCCTCGGCCTCCCAAAGTGCTGGGATTACAGGCTTGAGCCACCGCGCCCGGCCGGTAAATCTACTTTCTTTTTAAATTTATATTTGTTTTTCTTGCCTTACTCCACCAGCTAAGACTTCCAGTACAAGGTTGACTAGAAGTAGTGATAGCAGCCATCCTAGTCTCATTCCTGATCTCAGAAGATCCTTGCAACATTTCATCACTAAGTAGATTTGATTTAGGTTTTTTGTAGATTTAGAATCCATATCGTGGTCAGGCATGGTGGCTCACACCTATAATCCCAGAACTATGTGAGACTAAGGCAGGCAGATAGCTTCAGCCCAAGAGTTCAAGACCAGCCTAAGCAACATGGTGAAATCCTGTCTCCACAAATAATAGAAAAATTAGCCAGGCATGGTAGCATGGGCCTGCAGTCCCAGATTCTTAGGAGGCTAAGGTGAGAGGACTGCTCGAGCCCAAGGGGTTGAGGCAACAATGAGCCAAGATTGTGCCACTACATTCCAGTCTGGGCAAAAGAGCAAGACTCTGTCTCAAAAAAGAAAAAAAGAATCTAGATCTTTGGTATCAAAGCTACAACTTAATTTTGACTTGTCCCCCTCTATACCTCTCTGGGCTTACTCCACTTCACTATCTCTCACATTCTTTTCTATTTCTTTTCCTTCCCTCTCTTCTCCTCTCTCCCCCTCTCTCTCATGAGCTCTTTCTCTCTCTTCCTCTCCTGCTTTCTTTCTCCTCTTTCCCCACCTCTTTCCCTTATTATTTAACTGCTTTAGTAAGGCTTATATTTTCTATTCTGAATTTTAAACACAGATGAGTTAAATATCTTTTGTTCATCTCTCCAAAGAAAAGTATGCTTTTTATATTTTCCTTAGTAGTTTAACAGTGTCCAATTTTTTAAAAAGCTTCAATTTCCTCTATAGTCTAAGGGCCAAGAAAAGAAAGGCTGAAGAGAAGCAAGGTGGAAAGACTATTCAAACCAAATTGGGAAAACTAGGAATGGAGCCCAGCTTAAGGGACCAAGGCCAAAAAGAAAATGGCTATCTCAAACATGCCCAGGCCCGCATCCCTTAACGTCTCCTTGTTGTCCTGGTTATGCATGACCATAGCGTTATAATATTCTATGCTTCCTTATCTATAAACAATAATACCCAGTGACTATTTCATTCCGTTTTCAATCTATGACAGTCTAATCCTTTGCACTAGATTCTTTCCCCTTTCCCCTATTTGACATGTATATTTAGTGCAGTTCTGGTGTTCATTTCATCTACCCATGCTGGACATTGAGAATTATATAGATGCCTCTTTTTAGTGAGATCCTTGCTACCAAGCAGTAAGAGCACTAAAATCCACGAGACTACCTAAATAATAATGGTCAGATGCCATATGTCATTAAGATATGCACAAGATAAAATTCCCAAGGACAAAACTTCCCAGATTAGGGGTAGAGATCACA